AAGGGGGCCCCTTTCAAGGCCCCAAATTTTTTAATTTCCCCAGTTTTTTTTTTTGGTTTTAAATTTTTGGCTTAATTGTTTGGGCTTGAATTTTTTGGGCCCCAACTCAAAAGTTGAAATGTAAAATTCCCCCCCCCCCCCCCCCCCCCCCCCCTCCTCTCTCTCTCTCTTCCTCTCCCTCTCCCTCTCAATATATCCTCTTCCTCGCTCCCCCTCTCTCACCCACGTCCCTCTCTATCTCTCACCCCCTTTGTCTCGTCCTGCAGTCCGAGCAGGGACAATTGCGCCCCCAGCTGCTCCGCCTCCGCTTGCATGCGGCGTGCCTGCGCGAGCTTCCACTGTGCCTCTTGCCTCTGACGTTGCATGCCGTGTTGCATGGGAAGGAGATGAAGGGATTATTTTGCTACGACCGCAATCCGACTGCTGTGGGTAATGACATCCTCTCGGCCCCACACCACACTGCAAAAATGAGTTTATTAACGCGTTGTCCTACCGTTAACGTTTGGTGCCAGCTTGCGTACGAAACAACAAACAACAAACGAGAGAGATTTGGGAACGCGTACTCCCCCCATGCCATACAAAAACACCCACCTGAACAAAAAAATATATATATGCAGCGGTTGCAGGCACGCAACAACAAAAACGCGAGAGAGAGACAGGTGCTCGTGCCCCCCCTGCCATACGAAAACATGCACACAAAGCGTGCAACGAACGCAAAGCGGCACCAAGCAAGCCATGCTTTGCTCCCCCACCTCCTGCTCCTGCCTCTCCTGCAGCAGCCTGGCGCGGCGCTCCTCGATGACCCTCTCCTCCGCCAGCCTTATCTTCTCCTGTCTCGCCAGCTCCCTCTTGGCGTTCTCCTCGTCTTGGAGGCGTTTCTCCTCCTCGCGACGCTGAAAAACACAGCAACAAAAAAAAAAGTGACTGTGTGTGTGTGTTTTTTCTGTACAGTGGAGGGCCCCAACCCTAACCGAATGTGGTCGTGGTCGTGGTGGGGCAGCTGAGAATGACTTGTCCTCCTCGCGACGCTGAAAATATATACACCATACGAAGTACAAGTGTATATAGTTTATTTTCTGTGCTGTGGGGGTTGTACCCCGAATAAGTCGCGGGTGGGGAAGGCAGCTGAAAATGAGCGACACTACGTGGGGCAGCCGCCTCATTCAATGTGTACAACAACCAATTGTTCGTCTATGCCAGCCAATTTCGCCCGCCGGATACAAGGCGATTGCCTGATTCAAACCACGTCATTGGGGGACCCCTTCTGAACACTGCTGTGGGAGGACGAAAACAAAAAAAAGTCCTGTGGTCATTCTCTGTGAGAGAGACCCCCTGGCTCGCTATTATATATCCCTGCTTCAGCTTCAGAGCATTCAGCGAGAGGTTCACGGATCGTAGTTTCGGCACGGCCCAAAAAGTTCGCAAGTGGCACCAGAGAATGTTGTACGTTGCCTGTATGCATGCAGTGCTGTGGGCAAGCACCGCACAAGAAAGGAGGAGGAAAACAACAAGCCCTATGTGGTCATTCTGTCGTGAGACTCAGGCATAGTCCACGCTACCACCCAAACCCGAAACGTACGTGACGTTAGGTATAAGAACTGCTATAAGGGCATTGTTGGGTTCGGTCGAACATGTCCAGCACATGGGAGGACATTGCCGTACACATGGACGACACAACGTGGTATGTAAGGCTCCATCACGGCAGGAAGATCGGAAGGCGGACCGCGAACGTAAATGGTACGTACGGTTAACAGCTACAATACCACCGCTTGGTACAACAAGACAAGACCTGGAGTTAAACCGTGAAGCATTGCGGGAGCAGCAGCATCCATGCGCACAAGAGTGCGCTACTTCTTGCATTGGATGAATGCCGCACAGCAGTAACAATGCGGACGGCACCCTATGTATAGGCAGCGGGCGTTTTGGCCTAATGGCCGATATTAGTCTAGCCTAACCTTCTTGTCCCTTTCCTTCCTCTTGGCCTTCTTGCTGCGGCGCCTAGCAGCTGCCCCCTCCTCTTCTCCAGCACCTCCCTGCTCGGCCTGCCAATAATAATAATAATAATTCCAAGAGTAAAGGAAACGAAGGGTTAGACATTAGGCGGCCTGCCAAAGCGAAACAAAAAATATTCAAACACAAAAACAATAAAAAAACAAACGCGCTGGCCAAAAGGGTGTCGGTTACAAAGATCTTACCACAGTATACACCTCCTCGTATACGACGACCTACAGCAAAACAATCCAGACAAGGTCAACTCAGCAACAACAACGAGTCACCTCTAACTCTTTGAGCAGGCTGCTCTCGTACTCCCTAGCCTTCAGCTCCGCCTTCCAAGCTTGGGCGATGTTCCCTCGAGCGAGCCGACTCAGGGTCTGGCCGAGCACCTGTGAACAACACAACGCGCCATGACAATATTCCAACGCCAAGCGACACGGTGCCAAGCGACACGACGCCGGCAACAGGCACGGACACGGTGACGTTAACGGGAATGTTAACGGTAATGGCGACGGAAAACGCTAAACAAAAACGGAAACGGTCATGGTAACGGTAACGGAAACAAAAACGGTGACACGAGGACAACATCACCGCCCATCACGACAACTATCGCACCATGTGATTCGCACCACATGTGATTCCCGGCGGCTATGCGAAGCACGCTCCTATTATGCATGAGGAGGATCGTGCCTGACAGTTCCTCCGCATTGCTGTTCTGCGGGTCATTCCGGTACGCACGCATAGGTATGTCACTGTTCCGAGAGAACCCGCTCCACTGGACGGAATCCACAGCAAGCAACATGGCCCATCACGACAACCATCGTATCTTCCAATCATTCAACACAAAATACACCATTCATACTATCAGTCATTCAACACCAAGTACACCATTTCATACCATCAATCCTCAAAACCAACAACTACCATTTCATACCATCATTCAATCATTCAATCATTCAATCATTCAATACTATATTACCACCATTTCATGACTATCATTCAATCATTCAATAACCCGACCCTAACCCTATAATTCCAATCGGCTAGCTCACCTGGAATCCATGGTTAGCGAAGAGAGAAGGCACGCGCCCTGTGCCGGGCTCCCCGTTAGTCTCGCCGTCCGGCCCGCACTTGAGCACGGATAGAACCAGCAACTCTGGACCCCGCACCGCGTAGGCCTCCGTCTCCTGCGCATGTACCGCTTCCAACGTGTCCATGATGCTATCCGCCCGCTCCATCAACGGCGGCTCCTTGCCGTGGCTATGCTCGTCGTCCTCCTCATCATCGTCGAAGTCTTGCCGCGGCCGAACATGCACGTTTTCGGTAGCAGAGCAAGCAGCGGAAAGATGCGTTTAGAATTCCGAACCGTTTTGTTTGGGCCCAGTCATCAGTCTCGCGGCTGACCATTTGTTCGGTAGCAGAGCAAGCCGCGGAGAGATGCGTTCAGAACTCCGAATGGATCCAATCACAGTAGGGCGGCCGAGCATTTTGATTGGTAGCAGAGCAAGAAGTGGAGAGAGGCGTTTAGGATACCGAACCGGTGTTTTGCGGTGATGGCAAACAGAGAAATTCCACGTGTTGTTGGGGGGACAGCAAACGGGAAAAACACAAGGGAGTGAGACTCGAAACTCCACCAGTCTATAGTGCGGTGGTATGCTGCTAGTTGTCCGTGCACGCGTCAAACAAAAGCTTGGTGAACGGAAACTACTGCCAATGTCTAACTACCGATGAGGCTGGCTTGACGTCCAGCCAAGCAAAAAAGGTGACGTAGTCTTTCCAATCTTCTTTTTGTAGAGAGGTCCGGTTTTCTTTGTAGAGATATTGAGAGAACAAAGACATTCCTCAACAGTAGTCCACACTACCGCCCTCAAAATCCCTCAAACCAGGCGCTGTTACCAACACCAACACTCATGCATTCCGCAACCGCCCTCACCATCGTCGTGACCGCTCCCGTCGTCATCAAAGTCGCCCGCCCCCTCGTAGTGGTAAACCTCGTCGTATCGGTCATCCGCGGCCCGCTTCCTACCCCTGCTTGCCTCCGCCGCTCCCCCACCGTCAGCACCCGGCGAGTGGTCAACCGGAGGAGGGGGCGACGCAGAATCCCTCGCGAGACACCCTTCCATCCCCTTGCTAGTCGGACCGGCAAACCGGCCAGCGCTGCTACTAGCAGTGCCCCCGTCGTGTGATGTTGCGCCCGGCGCGGAACCCTTGGGGGGGGGTGACGCATTACCATCCACGGTGCCGCCGTTGGCGACGGCCGAAGACGCCCCCCCCGCCCCCCCCCCTGCTCCGCCCGCCGCCCCGGCGGTGGCCTTGTTCAGCTTAGGGGCGGTGGCGGTGGCCTCGTTTGGCGTGGATCCCCCGAACAGCAGATCGCCGACGAACCTGGAGAGGGAGAGGGTGCACGCAGTGTGATATATGGACAGCCCACGCAAAAGCAAGCTTATTGCGAAAAAATACCAGACAGGGGGCAAGGGGGCATGCAGACTCTTCACCCCAATTTAACCAGTTTATACTTTATCCAGTATGTTGGCATACAAACTCTGTGTGTTGTGATTAAATAGTGTGCAGCAGTAGTCGGGGTGACTGTAGGGCGGGCATAGGCCAGGTCGATTCGCCCGCCCCATAGAGGGCACCCGCCCTATTCAAAGCACCCCGTTAACGACTATTTTGATCGTTCAATCTGGGCCGAGAGCTTCACCCGCCTAATGGAGGGATCCCGCCCAATAGAGGGACCCCTCTCTAGACCCCTCTCTAGAGTCTAGAGGGACCCCTCTCTAGAGTCTAGAGGGGCCCCGATTGATTTCGGTTCTGCAAACTCAAACCAACCAAGGGTTGGGAGATGACATGAGACAAACTGTTGGCCTCTTTCTGTCGGAAAACACAAAATGCAAAACAACAGAGGTTACGTTATGAACACGCAACACGTAGGACACATAGGAGAGGTCTGTCTTCGTCGATGTCGACAACTGGATGGAGATGACACCCGGTCAACACCTAACCTTGGGCCATGAAGGAGAGGAGAGGCAGAATTCACGCCTGACAACTACAACTACAATTGCCACACCCACACTCACACTAAGACCAAGACCAAGACCAAGACATGGAGAGAGAGAGAGAGAGCCCTTCTTTCCCATGAACAAAAGACAGTATACAGTATACAGTTTACCACCAGAAGCTTAGACGACACATGAAAAGGATACGGATGGAAGGCACAGAAACCGTCGAAATGACCCACCATGAGAGAAAGGGAGGAGAAAAAGAGAGAGAGAGGGACAGAGAGAGGGACACACACACATGCAGAGAGAAGCACCCCCAAAAGCAGAGAGAGAGAGAGAGGAGAGATACTGTCAAATGACTCACTGTCTGTTCTTTTCTTCAGTGCCAGAGTCGTCTGTACTAGGGCCGCCCAGCACCTGCCGGAAACCAAACAAAAGTTGCGTAAACAAAGAAACAAAGAAGCAAACCACGGGTTTCGAATTGAAGTGAAATACTGTCATGCGGAGGGAGCCACCATGACATCAAACCATGGATGGCTGGCTGACACCATGAGACCGTGACAACCAGAGGCAACAAATTATGATGGTGACAAACGATATATTCCAATTGCAGGGAGCCAAACCCACACTCAGCTTCCCAGAGCAAAAGGGTTCAGTATTGTTCGGCAAGGCAAATCAATAGGTCGAGACTACGCACGTCAATACTACAATAGCGCACCTGGGATACGACGACTTGCTGCCTGTTCTTGAAGCCTAGCTCTTGAAGAGTGTGGTTGTTCTTCTCAGGCCCTGTCAACGGATAGAGGAAGGATACAGGGTAGAGTACGAAACCGTCAGGAAGGGGGCGACGCACAGCTTGGCACTACAGCACGGTACGTCAGTAGCCCGGTGCCAACCAAACGCCTAGGGTGGCCAATCACGCACGGTCACACATCCAACAGAGCCCCGTAAATGCATACCATACAAGAAGATAAGGTCACCAAACGGAAAACTCATTAAACGCAGGCTTTGGCCGAAAAGAAAAAAACTGACTTGATACAGCCGTAACAAGTGCGTTCACAACCAAGCCCCCAAAAAACGCTACCCACGCTAAGCTATCATAGGAACTCCGAGTGATTTTCTGGCGTATACAAAAACTGGACAAGCGTCACCGATGTGGAAATCGAAAGGTAGGCAAACGTATCGACATGGAGAACGACTGCATCGTGACCCACTACACCAAACCGCCTCGTTGGCTGACTCTACTTGCTGCACTTGGAGAAAAACACGGTCTGCGGGATGCATTCCACCCGAGAAAACACGGTCGTGACGGAGGTAGTCGCTGCACAACAGAGGGCCGCATAGCTTAGTTGGGTACTGTCTGGAGCGTCCCGTGATTAGTCTGCGCCCAAACACCCGAGGTACAATCATCGGGCCACATTGCAATCAAGCGACTGGCGAGGTGGGAGAAAAATTAGCCCGCAATCTCCCCCGTCCTCCGTCCCCAACAGACGAAGCCCATAAGCTCGCTCACCGATTGCTCTTCCCCTGGTTAAAAGCACGAGCTTGGTCGCCGATTCCAGCTTCACATTCACGAGCATTATCTCTCTCAGGCCCAGGAGCGACATCTGATCTTCTACTAGCACCTGGCAAGTTACGCCATGCGAGGAGTGTGGCAAGGGTTTGAAGTGAGCGTCCTCAACGGTATCATATCTGCTTGTCACCAGCAGGCAAAGACTAACATTGTAAGCTTGGAGATAAGAGAAAGCGCAGCACATGTCCAGGTGAGGAAGGGTGGGTGAGAAACAAGGTTGGTAGACTATCATGACGGTCGAAAATGCCACCTCCACCTCCACCATCACCACCACCACCAACAACAACAACAACAACGGTTCGTCGACCGTACCCGCTTGTGCTGCTGTTCCAAAGACACAGACAGTAAACAAACAAATGGCAATAGTTGGGCTCTCGCGTGACCCCCCGAAATCGTGAATGCGCGTGACGCGATTATTCGTTTTTTGTGTGTGTGTTTTTCCCAAAAAAAAGTTGACCCGCGCTACCTGCTGACGACGCCACATCGCGATTTGACTTGATATTACTATGTGAACTGGAAACACGAAATACTCGCTCCCACCAAGGAACTTTCTCTTCATATTCAACGCAGACCTGCGTACAGACCATACGGATGTTCTCGTAGCTCCGTTTTTGGATTGGACAAGATAAAGCCAGCATACACTCTAAAAACAAGTGATTTTCGGTGTTTTCCACCGGCGACCGCGTACGTGTGTGGCGATAAAGAAAATCGTCAACTACCAAAACACAGCTCTCGTTTCTGCGAAGGCGACACAACAATCGGCACCACAATCCACCACTCCTACGCGTCACAGCACGTCTTGCGAGATCGGGTACTGATGGGTAAAGCACGGTCCATGATTTGCGTGAGAGTCTGATGATTTTTTTTGAAATTGAAGTCCTGTTTTTTTGTAGTCGTGAGCAGATTTGTGTACAACGGGCCGTGTCGATACCGCAGGCGCTTGAGCAGCTTTTGCTACCGTTCCGGCGCCAAAAGTAGCTGTGGGTACCATACTCACGACGCAATGCCACTCGAACCTCGCCCAACTTGGGGAAGGGTGGGGTCGGATGCGATTCCTTTTTGCTGTCATCGTGAAAAAATACACACACACACGCACACACACGGCTGATATAACACACGCACATCGGCATGTTCAGGAGAAGCCGCGGGTTGGGCCTGAGCCTCACCGGCGTCGTCGGCCATTTACGTGGCGACGGTCCGCCCGGTCGTGTGGTGTGGTCCACCGGGCCGTGTGGCGTGGTCTGTGTGTGTAGCAGACACTCTTGTATGACACTTGATGCTGCTGCTGTTGGCCGACGCATCGCCACGCAACACACACACGAAAAAAAAAAAATAGAAAAAAACACGCTCGAACACAGATACTTGGCGACCTGTTCGCCGAAAAGTTGACTCGGCTGTCATAATTCATGGAATTTTATTGGTCTAAATATTTTTAGGAAGGAATTAAAATCTGTTCAATTGTAGCTCCGCGTGACAGAAATATGGCCCAAAATCAGGGTCACGCAAAGGCCTAACAGTGCTTTCACGTTCGCGAGGCACTGCAGTCTATTAGTGAGCGTTCGGTTTGATTAGAGACAACAAGAACCCTCCCCGACACATGTACATCATTCCTTCTCTCCCTCCCTCCCTTCCACATCAACGGGACCAGGTTCTGCGAGCATGTCCACGTCCCGCGCCACTGCCGCACTGCACACCATTGCATGTCCGACAACGTGCATGTTCCGCTCTTTCTCTCTCTCCCATCCCGAACTTCCCGGGGATACGTTCGAGTCTTCCGAGCCACGTACCGTAATACCGCATACCTTTGTACACAAATATCCCATATCGCAACATATCCCGCACCCGCTCTATCTCTCACCTCGAATTTCCTGACTGGTCGAGGGTACGTTAGCATGTCCACAACCTTGAGGATGAGCTTCCCCTTGCAGTAGCACCCCCGATCCCCCGGCTCCGGCGGCACCGGCCTCCACGGCTCTTCGATCTCCGACATCGCCGACACCGCCCTATCCAACACCTCCGTCTACGTTTCATCGCAAAACGGCGTGCACAGGAGACGTGGGGAGTAGGTGGATGCATGGGTATCTCCAAGCGCGGTAGCGAGTGACGCGGCAGTAGCGGCTCCAGCTCGCGCGGGTGGTCCTCAACATCATCACAGAAGGGGGAAGCACTCTAAGGGCTAGAAGCGGGGCACGGGGATCGTTCCTAGGATCGGTCGGTCCTCGTGTGCAAGTTTCAATCTCTCGCTTTCCGCTCCCTGCAAGGGAGGGTAGGGAAGCCTTGATGCCCCGGCTACAAGCAAGCTGCAACAAGCACACGCGGCAAATGTTACGAGTTTCGAACGCTGCATCGCGCTTTGCTTCCAGTTTTAGCCAACCCCCAAGGTTTTCCCTCGAGGTTTGGCAGAAAATCGTCAGCAACATCGGAAGCAGCAGCCAGCCCCGCTACCATCACTAATACAGCAGCAGCAGCAGCAGCAGCAGCAGCAGCAGCAGCAAGCAACTCACCTGCTGTAACGCGAAGACTCCGGCGAGATACTTGACGTAGCAAGGCCATCGCATTTGCATCTCTGGCCACCCTACCCAGTCCGCCATGAAGGCTTTGTCCCCAATTACCCGAAGACCGGACGCCTGCCGAGTACAGTAGCACAGGAAACCCACATGGTCGAGGGGGCGGCAGGAAAATGTCAAGAAACTATGGACAAGGGACATTCGTGCATGTATGCATTACCCAGACATTCCCGGCGACAAACCAAAAGGGGTTCGGTCCCCTGCAAAAGCCAAATCAGCCCAGGAAACTCTACTGTAGGGGGAGGGAGTGGGGTACAGTCCAAGCAGCAGCACTTTTCACGCGTCGATAAACAACTTCGCCGAAAATACTGACAACGCACATGCACGAATCTAAATCGAGAGACAGGCGACTACTCTCTGTGTGACTCGCCGTTGGTTTTGGAGAATGTTTTGGAGGCTTCTTCTTCGAAGACTTGACGAGGGTGCTGGAGTTGCCGTTAGGACCTGTGCCCGGTGGTGGCGGCGGCTGCATGTCCACCTTCGTCTCTGCCGGAAGGAAGTGGAACATACAAGAAAACGGGGGCGGCGAGGGGGGGGTTCTAATAAACCGGGTGGTGACAACAAGGGTGCGAGATAGTACACTTGTTTTCTGAAGCAGTATCGTAAAAAAACTATTGGAGCCCACGACATAGTGCAAGGTATCTCTGGTGTTGAACCTGAGCTGTGCTTTGCGAGTTTCTGAAGCTGTACGACCGGAATGCATCCTAGTACCGGGACAGAGGGGCGAGGACACGAGACACCACCTTTAGGGGGGGGGCGGAGGGAAAGCCGGGGGAAGTGATGTCATGTCTCGCGGCGGCCGGCGGGAGCACAAGCCCAATTTGGTCTCGGCCGCTAATCAAAGACGAGGGGCGAGTGATGTGCGTGTGTTACGGCTTTGATATAGTTGGGGCACCGCTGGCAGTGCCGACACCAACCGGCCGTATGGTGAACTTGGCTGCGTGTAGTGCACTGCCGACCACGTGCAACCGCTCAACCGCGGCACTACTGCAGCAACACCAAAAGCAACAGCCAACAGCCAACAGCCAACGGCAACAACACTTAAAAACTCAGCAGCAGCCACAGCACTACTGCAGCAACACCAACATCTCCTAACAACCTCAGAAAAGACAACGACAATTCCCACAACGACGACCAAACCACCCACCTTCCTCTAGGGCGAACGTAGCAGAGCTGACGAGGTCACGACACAAGTCGCAGTCCAGGGCATCCCTCACAGCCTTCCCGTTGATGGTCAGCAGCGAGTCCCGCTGCTTGGGGTCTAGGCACGACCAAAACTCCGACAGACCCCCCCCCCCGCTGCTGCCACCGCCGCCACCATGGTGATTCCGACGACCACCGCCTCGTGCTCCCCGCCCCCCGCCCCCCCTGCCCGGCTCCGGCGAGCACATCTACCTGGAATAGATGCGTATTCGGGGGAAGAGAGCGTCGATTCGGCATGGGAACCTAAGCACAGTTTGTAGATAGGCGTATGTGGTTGGAAAACCAATTGAGCGGGGGGGGGGTCAAGCTTGTGGCGGACAGGGCAGAGCATGCACACGGATACACAAAAATCATGGACCTCCATTTACCATTTAGGGCTTAGCCAGCTGCTGCATAGTTTGCGGGCTGCCTTCACAGTTTCAAGTGATGATATACAGAGCAGCAACATGAAGCTCGACCCGAATTCCAACGAATTGTTCATGATCTTCGATCAAGTTGCAGGTTGACACCGCAGCGCGACCAGTGCTCGTGGATTCGGGTATACTGTAGTCTAGTCTACGACGCAATCTGTGCATCACTCACAACAGACTCACAGCAGCAGCAGCAGCAGCAAGCCCACCCCCACACACTGCAGCTTGCACGAAGGCTTTGGTGCGAGAACAAACTGCTGCACTACTGCCGTTGTGCTACATGTTAACACTGCTTAGTGCAACTGCGAATAGCTTTGGATTCCCGTGTAACAAAACGGTGTACGCCTTGCAAAAGAATCGAGTTGTGCCTTCAACCATTAACGCTCATGGGTACAGCATTAGGTTCGAGTCGCTAGTTACTGCCGTGTGCGAAGTACTACAACCAGCTGCGATCTCCTGGTTTGTTGGTGCGGTGGCGCTACGAACGAGTTAGACTTGTTTTCAAGGGTATGCAAAAATCTCTGGGGCCAACGACAAAAGGCAAGGCATCTCTGATGTTGATCATGAGCTGAGTTTCTGCAAACTGAAAGACGGATTGCATCCTAGCAACGAGACACGGGGTGAGGGCACGAGCCAATAGGGGAAGCAGCAGCCCTTTGGCGGTCAGCATCAAGGCTACTGCTGCAGTAGCTTCGTAAACCTCTACCTGGTATTTCTGTAAGCAGGAGAGCCCTATGATACTGGCCGGTAAGGATCGATCTGCCCATGGGTAAACTTCCAAGCATGATGATTCTCTGACGAGAATACATGGCGACGTGACCCCCAGTACCCACAAGGACCACACGGGCCTGCACCGACTCTATGGTGATATGCTGATCGTGCGTGCTGCTGGCAGATTACAGATGATGAGGCAAGCAGCAAGCAGACCCTCACAAACACAGGGTTTCTTCTTTGAAGTGCTCCTGACATATTGCTATATCTACGGTCACGCAGAACTGTACCTTGTCGTGTCGCCAAATTGAGGGTGGTTGACTTCAGCAGCAGTGATCCATCGGCAAGCTCACAACGTGCCCGCCGGATGCCCGCTTGACATCGAGGTGCTTCTCGAAGCAAGCCCGGCGTCCTTGGGTCATCTGTTGGGGGCACGACGAACTGTAGTGGCCAGATACACCCTCACTAATCAAATCACGGAGCCTCTCTCTAAGAACTCCCTGAAACTGTCACGGTCTGAGTTTATTGTGCGATCCGACGACCCGATTCTGTGAACATCGTGTGTGTGCGGAAGGGTTTGCAGGGCTACCTTCTCCTGGCTCTGCTGTACACACTGCTGTGGAGTACAAGTTCGCTCGCTGAATGTGTGTGTTGTACACATAGCCAGTGCCGCACGAAAACCGGCAGTGGAGACGCACAGAAGAAAAACGCTCGGAGTCGAGTCGTCAACATTTTTGTTCTGGAAATCGGGCAAGCCTCATCATCTTGTGGAGTTTAGTTCGTGCCTGGCGGCAGAACCTCGTGGTAAGCAACCCGACGATGAGCAGACAAGTGAACGCTCTGCCACCGAGCGAAAACTCGAACATGAGTCCTAGGACGCCTTGAGCGTCATCAGCCGCTGTGAAGCGCTCTACCGGATCTCGAAGGCACGAGTCTCGGTCGTTCTGCAAAAGGCGGCGGATCCTGCTTTCTGACAGTGCCGAATAGTTCTTGTCGCTGTCCTTGCCTATACGCGCATAAACCAACAGCACGATCCCTACTCCAACAGGTGGAGCTACACTTTCTTGCTGTAGGTGACCGGCATGGGTGCTAAGAAAAAAGGGGGCGGTGCGAAAAAGGGGGGTAAGGGTAAGAAGGACAAGAAGCCTAAGGATGCCGTCGGAGAGGCCGTCAACGAGGTTGAAGAGGCGGAGAGAAAGGTGATAACCTGCGTAGAGACCCTGTCTTCTTTTCAGCGTATATTGAACGCTGGCTGCCGTTAGTGCACAGCCTGGTTGCTGTTGATCTTTGTATGCTCTGCTCTTGAGACAGTGGAAATGATAATTCACGCGTGGTACATGTAGTCTAGATGGTAGATGGTCCCGACGAGTTCGAGAAGTCATTCATGAGTTTGGCTGCGAAGCTATTTTCCTTCCAACAACAGAACGAATCCATCTCTATCCACATATAAAGAATCCAGGACAACGTCGAAAAGGATCCATAGCGTTAACGAGAGGAATACCTGTGCTTCTACGAGTCCCCGAGCAGCACGGCGATATCTCCCCTGAACCTGTTGCGTGTTTTACAGACTGCACGTGTTGGGAAGCTGCTGTAAAAATGACATAATTAGTTTGAGAGTATTGAGCGCGCGTCGGCAGTGAGACGAGACATGCGGTGCAGAACATGCCAGAGTTGTCGTTGCTGTTGTTGTCGTTGTCTTCGCCTTCAAGAACACAATTTCCCAAAGTGTAGTGGCGAGTCTCTTTCGTCCCGAGTGTTGGTGTCATTTCCAGATGGTATGTGATAATACGAGGTCTGGGGAAGTGAGAGGATATTAAAGAGGGAGGGAGCGAGGGAGAGGAAGAGAGAGAGAGAGAAAGAGAGAGAGAGAGAGAGAGAGAGAGAGAGAGAGAGAGAGAGAGAGAGAGAGAGAGAGAGAGAGAGAGAGAGAGAGAGAGAGAGAGAGAGAGAGAGAGAGAGAGAGAGAGAGAGAGAGAGAGAGAGAGAGAGAGAGAGGCCTCTCGTGATGGCGAACACATACCACTATTGTAGGGCGCAATTACCTCAAATCGAAATGCCTTGGCCCAGAGATCTCCAACCAGTGCAAGCTGACATGTTCTTCCTGATACAGATAGGTTGGTTCTCTCGGAGAACTGCACAGAATGACGAAGCAGCCATGGTCGTATTGCTTGCTTGGGTGTAAACTCGGCGCATGTGCTACGCGGACATTGCGTGCCACAAAGGTTTAGGGCAATGAATAGACCACGCGAAAGCATCTCACCAAAGACTTCTGTAGTTTAGACGAAAGCAGTCGTCTCACAAGGGAATAAGCAGTAGACATGGGCAATACACGGCATACACGACCGCCATTGCAGACGGCACCTCTCCACCTTGTACTCGGGCTAATGTCTCCTACTCAGGCGCTTACTCTGGAGGCGGATCGAGTTTTCAAGCGAACGGTGAAGGAAGACCACGACTTTAACGAGTTCCAGCAACAGCGGGAAAAGGTGGAGAAGGATATATAGCGACTACGTAGTTGGTTGTGTTCGCCACGTGGCAAGCTTGATCCTGATTAATGGTTTCGTATGTATTACAACTAGGTAAATCTCAACATGCTGTTGAAGTATACATACATGTAACGCCAAAATTCACCGGGAATGATGGGTTACGTGCATGCACCGTGCAAGTGCAATAACGCCTATTCTTGTGTACGCATGCCAACGGTCTTAGCTCCCCATGGCACGGCCCACAATACCCAAGGAGCCACATCCTTGAACGGACGACCCGAATCATTTCGAGCTCTGGACGAGCCGATCTTTGTGTGCAACTACAACAGTGTGCGTACCTCGGATGCTTGCGGCTGGATTGACATTTTTGATGTATCCCGGACCACTGACATACCGAAACGAGTCATACGACATACGATCATGTGTGCAACGGAAGAATCTCATTTCTGAACCCTCTGTGTTGCTAGTCGATTGTCTCTAACGCTCTCAAGTGCACTAATGTTGTCCTATGCCCAAATCTGGGCAACGGAGCAGCCGATGGCCTCAGTACACCACCGAGACTTAGCAGAGTACATATGCTTCATTCCGTGTCGACGAATTTGCGGGGCACAGCATGTTGCTGGAACGTGAGGTCAAGCAAAAGGACACACCGAACCTAGACACCCATATTATTATTTAAGCCCTATGGAACGAGCCCAATCCTCCGGGACTCCCGAACTTAGTGCCCAATAAACCCCCGTTCCCCACCGCATGCGTTTTATCATTATCGTTCGCCACACGGTAGTTGAACTACTTCTGGATAGTTGAGAAGAAAAACTTGGAAGACAAGCGGGCAGAGCTACGCAACAAGGAGAGGGAGCTGCAGGACATCGAGGAGAAGCATCAGGTATAGGACGGGCATGAAAACAGGGAGGCGTATTAGGTATGGTATCATGTGAAGGTTGTAACCTGCCATTGCCTCAAACGTTTTTGTATGGAGCTAATCCGGATTGGATGGTTGAGTTGCTGTTGGTAGTGTCGTTGATGTCTTTTGTTTTATAATACCTTCCACGAAACATGCACTTGTTGGTTGATGATGGACGGCACCCCGGCCTGAACGGACAGACGAAATCTTAGTAATGTAGTGATGGGGACAATACCATCAAGGTTGGGGTTACTAGATGTTTCTGTCCGGAAGAGAGTGACGGTAGTCGAACACGAGTTTCAGCTGCCGCATCGAATCATAGAAATCCCTGTATTTATGATTTGTCGTCATCCTCGCCTACTCGCCATCCATCCGCTCTCGATGTTGTCCTTCGCGACTGTCTGCCATCTGCTCGACCGAATAGGTAGAAATCAAGATCTACAAGCAGCGCGTGAAGCATCTCCTGTACGAGCAGCAGGATGACGTCACCGCCAAGAAAATGTCGGCGGAGGTGTCTCTGAAGCTTGCCCAGGTAAGGAAAAACACGAGGTGACCGCCTGCACGCGCTGTTGCTATGCCCGCAACTGCCGCTGCTACACCCTGGCGCCACCGCTGCGAGGTGGGTACTGGTGCCCGAACTAACAACGATAGCATTTTGGCTTTACTACTGTAGGAAAAATAAATACACACACAGAAAGACTACCCGTTCGAGATATACCCACAGTCGAACGGGATGTGGGGGAGTCTTTTAGCTTTCGCCCACACTCTGTGACGCCCGTTTTATGTTGGCTGTCGTTCTGTCCATGCGATAGGAAACAGTCGTGTTACCGTGTCTCTGCCACTATTCTATTCTGCAACGATAAGCAGGGGGGTGAGGAAACTCCGAAACATTGTTATAGCTTACTTGTGCCTTCCCGTCAACATGGAATTCTCCCAAGAATGCTGCTGGGATAGAACAAACGTGACAAAAACGACAACACCGGCCAGAGGCAGTACCTGAAGCAGTAACAACCACATTACTGATAAGGCGAACTCCTCTGGCAGACGCAAACCTCCGCGCTTGTAACTTAGGGTCGGGGTTAGGGTTCCGGTCCCACAACCGATGAAGAGCTAAAACTCTTGTTACATGACCTGGGCTGCCCTGAGCAGGACGCACACCGAGAAGAAGAGAGGGAGCTGAAAGTGGACAGGAGGGGGCTCAGGCTCGGGGCAAAGGAAATGGGACTGAGGTGAGCAGTGACGTTGAGCTAGCGTTCAGTCATGACCACGGAAGAGCTAGTGTTTTGGGGGCGTGATGCGCCACAGGCGAAGGGAACGGTGTCATGTGTTGTGTGGTTCTGCAGCGTTGCGTTAACATTGCCAGCCTGTTGAGACGTTCAAATATCCGTCTTCTTCTTTTCTGTGCAACAATGGCGGCGGTGTTCGTGGTTCACGTCCAACTTCCCAATTTGGAGAACAGTTTCAAACCAGCTCTCTGTTGTCAAGTGAGAACTTCGACCCTCCCCTTGTATTGACTCCCACCCCCCACTGCTATTGCGCTGCAGTCACGAGGCGTACCTGATGACGCTGAAGCAGCAGCAGGACCGGAACATCACGATGCTCAAGACGGAGTTCGAGAGGAAGGCCGGGGAAGTGCACAAGATATTTGAGAAGGCCATGAAAACGGTACGTCACCCAAGTACGTTTTATTCACTCCCCAGGAGCACACAGGGAGACTATCGCCGAATATTGTTGCCTATAGTGTTGCTCTAGACAAAAGCACCTTCAGATTTCGCTTGTCGTATGCATGGAGCGGGAATGCGCAGTTGGTTCACTCCTCAGGAGCACAGGGAGAGGGGCGCCATAAAGAGTTGCTAGTGGTGTTGCTCTGAACAAGAACATCTTGGCATTTCGATTGTCCGGAATGCGAGGTTGCTTAACCCAGGAACGCAGGAGGAGGGTCGCCACAAAGTGATGCTCTGAACAAGCGCACGTTGTCTTACGCTGGGGGCGGAAATGCGGCGAGAGTAAGCTAAACTGCGACCCCATCGGTCCTCGAATCCTGAACTGGAACACCGGCAAAACAGGTCCGGGAACGGCTTGACGCAGCGAGAAAAGCGGAGACGGCGAAGATCGAGGAGCGAAAAAACTCCCACATCGAGCGGCTCATGAAGGCGCATGAGAAGGCCTTCGCTGAGATCAAGAACTACTACAACGACATCACGCACAACAACCTCGACCTCATCCGTTCCCTCAAGGAGGAGGTGCGGTCTTCATGTGGTATCGTTGGGTGTGATTCACTCGTTGTTACCGTGCGGTCGGAGAGCATACCGCCGCCTGTTGTGCTCGGTTTCGCTTTCCTTCAGGGTGTTGGTCGTCTCCGTGTTTCTGGGCGTGAGTTTTGGCGCCTGTCGGCGTATATTTCTGGACGCCTCAGCAGGGCGGGGAAGCAAATATATGTTCCAATTTTCCTGGACACGACACTAGGGAAGCCCCTCGAGTCTGAAACTCTCCTCATCTTCAATCATCCTACGGCCGACCTGAAAAGGGAATGTTAAGCCCCCCGCCGTACCATGCTGTATCTAGAAGCAAGAGACCTTGAGGATGAGTCTTTTTCTTATGCATAGTGCGTTGTTGTTCCTTGGAATACCTTCGCCCCGTCTCGCTGCTGTTGGGCGGCTACAAGTTTCTCGCTCAGGCTCCTCTAGCATTCGCCGAAGAAAAAAATCACTCATCGCTAGACGTTTATCTTCCAATCTGTCGTCTCTGTACAGGTCGCCGACATGAGAAAACGGGAACAGCAGGACGAGAAGCTTATGTACGAGATTGCCCAGGAAAACAAGAAGATGTCGGAGCCGCTTAGGAAGGCCCGACAGGTAAACCTCTATGCCAAGAAAAGATGTGGTGAAAATGCCTTGTATTTTCGCCTCCGGAGTAGGCTCATAAGAGTACAGTAGTGTCATCAAGGCGTGATGCAAGATGAAAGTGTACAGCATGTGTTGGTGTGAATCAGCTGCCGGCTGCCATCAGTGACCTTCCTCCAGTTCGAACAGCTCACACAGCTGACGTGTTTTTGACTCGAAGAGCCAAGCCTCGTACCAAAGGCGAAAACCGGTTTGAATGCACTCTCTGCACCACGAGCACAAAACAATATGCTTCTGATGTGCCACGCAGAGAGCCGGTTTCCCCTGTGACGCAGTTTGCAGACACCCCCGTCACAACCTTTGACATTTCGAGCACTGAAAACCGACGCCAGGGACACATCTACGCCAGACAGTCAATCGGAAGCAGAGAGAGAGAGAGAGAGAGAGAGAGAGAGAGAGAGAGAGAGAGAGAGAGAGAGAGAGAGAGAGAGAGAGAGAGAGAGAGAGTGAAAACAGCATATCACGATGGTGAACCTCCTTGTCCTTAACTCGTTCTCAAGACAACCACACACTGCTGCTTGCTGTGATCAGGACGTGGAGAGGCTTCGGCAAGAGCTAGAACGGTATCGACAGGAGCAGGAGCAGCTGAGACTGACTAAGGCCAGGGTGCTCATTATGGAGGAGCGACTCCGGGACCTCCACTGGGAGGACGAGGTATGTAGCACTGTCCACAGCACGCGGCGGCCGTTCTGGTCGAAAAGTATAGTGTCGCTCAAGTTCACGTCTGGGTTTGCATTCGGTCAACAGAGTGATCTGGAAGGACGCTGTCGAGTCACTCCCCTGGAGATGATGCACTGGACACGTCTCTCTTGATTTTCAGAGAGCCGTCCCGACTGTACGTGCGAGCACGGCGTTGAAACCTTGCGACCTGTACTCGATTTCGCCAATATTGATTCGCATGCGTTCGCTTGAAGGGCTACATACGACAGCAGTTGTGAAGCTCCCTTCCTTCAGCAGACAGAAGACGAGGCACAAGGGGTGTGATAAACGACAGATGTTTTCTCATCAAGTCTGCCGCAGCAACAAAGTAGACGAAACAAGTATCGCAGCGAAATAGGTGGTACACTGGGGTAACGACGCTTCTACAGTACTATGTAACTACTCCTACGTGCACCCACATCCAACATGAACATATCATGCGAACACATGCCCATCGGTGAATTCATCTTGTTTTTGTTTTTTTCTTGGGCTCGCTTCGTGGAGTGAGTGTGGCGGCGTAAGCCACGGAACCCTCGTATCAGTACCACTCTAACAATACACAGTTGACGACGGCGATTAAGAAACAACACTCAAAGAAAAACCAGGCTCAGATGTTGTTGACTATAAAGAAAAATCGACTAAGAATCGCACCTCAGCCGTGGATCGTCCAGTATACTATCTGTACAATGACCTACTTGTGAATGATATGCTCGGCGGTAGTGACGAAATGAGAAATTGAGCCTCGGCCCCAAGTTGACGCTTCTTAAGAACGCGGGCGCTGACACGCACCCTCAAAGGCTGACTATCTTTGCCGATGTCTCCTCGTGCCTGCCCTGCCACACAGGTGCTGGGCCAGCGGTTCGCGATAGTCAGTCGAGAGCGGGACCAGCTGAGGGACCGTTTCCAGGATTCTGTCAAGCAGGCTCAGCAGAAGTCGGGCTTCCGGAATCTCATCCTCGAGAGGAAGCTCGGGGGGCTTGCAGAGGAGGCTGAGAAAAGAGACGCGTGCGTTAACGAGGTCGGTGGGGAGTGACCACGGGTACTGTTGTTGTTGTTGTTGTTGTTGTTTTCACATTACAAACCATTCCGATCTCTCTACCCAGTACGTTCATCTGTCCGTACTGATCTAACACTGGACGCGGTCGATTCCCGTGGTCACCGGCTAACTTCCCCTAAATAAGGCATCCTAAAACAAAATGAGCCCGAACCGAGCTGTGGTAGAGATCTCTTGTGACCACGGTCTTGCGGTTGTTGTTCATGTTCTTCCCGCATGGGCTCAAGATTAAGTGCACTGTAGTCAAGAGGAGGAGTTTGTATCGTGCCTTCGGGGGAAGCGTTATTACCTCGAGCAAGCGTGTAGGTCATATCATGCTGTAGACCAGCATTGACGATATCATTAGGCTCATTTTTTCGGAGAAGAGCGTGGACGACCACGCTGCGCTGGCGATAACAAAATCCGTCGGTGGCGGTGGGGTAGCACGATTCTTGGTGTTAGGCCGGAATGCATCTGTGTAGTTGAGAATATTCCGCTCCCCATGCATGCGTGTCAAACTCGAAAAGGGAAAACGACGACCATGGCGCCGTGGTATTATCGTCGCAAGACCTATTGTACGCACTCAATAAGAACGGTCGAAATATGGTATATGCGGCTTGTGACGACGAGTTACACCTTGTTCTACGTACGCGTCTTGGTAGCTCTGACTCGTTGTCGCGACGCCTGGCATATTTTATCTTCAGGTTTTGTCACGGGCGAACTTGGAAGCCGCCGCAGCGACGCAGGTCAAGGGCAAGGTAGAGAACATTCTGGAGCAGAAGGGTCGGGTGAGTCCATCTAACCTCGCCTTGAAAAGCCCGTGCCGATGATGGTTCTCCAAGGCGGGACCGACCGTCTCTTGCTTCCCGTTCTCGAGTAGTTTCGTTGTATTTTGCACGCATGGTCCTTTGAGGTTGTGATCTGCTTTTTTGGGTGGATGTCTGCGTTCATTCATATCTCGTCTTGGCTTTGGTGTACAAGGGGCTGTCTCGCATCAACCCCGCCAGTTGAACCCGTGACCTTCTTCCTCTTTCATGTGTCCAGCCACCCACTGTGTCTCCTCCGGCCGCCAGAACCTGTACGCTTGCCACAACGTATTACGAACCCTTCTTGTCAGGCCGTGCCTCGATTGCAGACGGCACGCTGCAATCCCCACCCAAACGCTTGTGTCGCGGTTATTCCTAGCTAGCATGGGAATGAAACGCTTCATATTTCCCACACCATCTCGTCGACAAAATAGGTGGTGGCGGATCTCGAACAAGAGGTGGCCAGAGTCAAAACCGCGCACGCTAGGCTCGTTAGAGCGGCCGAAGCAAAGCTGCGCGACTTCGGCATCCCCACCGAAGAGCTGGGGTTCCTGCCTCAAGTTGTAACCGGTGGGGCCGGCGCGGGCGGGGTGGCAAGAACGGGGCTTCTCACCGCTAGAAAAGGGGTTAGCGGCGACGGGGGTCGTGGTGGGGGGAGTGCGGCCGCGGGAAAACAGCGGCCGCCTCAGCACGTGTCGGTAACTCAGGCCACCGTGAAGGCTTGATGAGTTAGAACCGCTAAGGTGTTGCATTATTGTTCAAGCAGAATGTGCCACCCCGGTGTCCACGTCGATTCGGACGCAGTAAGGGTTGCCGCGCGTACTTGGTTCAATTCAACGGATCGACGACTATCACTCTCTCTCATGCGGGCTTCGCCGTCATCTCAATGTGCTCGCGACCCTTCGTGTGGGTGCTTGTTGCGAAACGTATGGTCAGTGCAGTGCTTTCTTTTCCATTGTTCAGGATGTTACTATAATTGTTTAGGTTTAGATTTTGCATGGAAAACGTGTAGTGTAGGCGTCCACTTGTTGACCAAACACACACTTGTGTAGTGAAGGAGAGAATGAAAGGACAACATTACCCGGAGCTTCTATTGAAACGAGTTAATACAAAAAGTGCCATCACGGACAAGCGAGCCATTCAAACGACACTTTGCACCACATGATCGCGTGTCTCCATGTCCGTGTACCAGTACCTTCGACACATACATATGGAAACGCCTCGTCCCCAAGTACCATGCACCCTTGTAACAAGTGTGCGACCATGTGCGACCATCCATGCGTTTCTCTGGTTCGCCGTCTTCCCGTCTACTTCCTCCATTTAATGTTTTTCTTTCCCTAACTCAACTAATCCATCTCTTCCACAGACAAGAGTCCGCGGTAGATTACCGATGGGTTTGTTTGTAGTGTTGTACGGTGACCAACTTGTCTTTATACGGTGTCGTTTCCCGAGCAGCTGTTGTTCCTTTTCTTGTTTCCATCCGCCGTCGGTCCGTGATCCACCAACAACAACGCAATACACTCAGCCAACAGCTACAAATAACCAATGAACAAATCAGCTCCAGACCGGCAACGCCGACGATACTCGTCGCGTTGATTAAGCACATTTATATGTGCCAATCGCCGTAGTGTAGTAATCTACAGGCGTACTGCAGTACTGATGTAGACAGATAGCTAGACTAGATGCAGACTACACATGTGTAGTCTAAAACTGCTTGCAAGACGCTGCGGTGGTATTCGGCGGAGAAGGTCGATCGTTGATGATTGTAAATCTAAAAAGCACCACATCAACTGCCAAATGGTGCGGCGTGTACATGCTGGTGTGTTTACGAAGAGTTGTCTTCTTGACCACTATTTTCGCTCATGGAATGCTGCATCCGGAGACATGAACTGCCAGCTGTAAACACAGACTCCCAGGTAGACTATTGTACTTACATATTCAACCATTTGATGTAGGCAGTGTAAGAAGAGTCTACGGTAGAGCAATGTATACGATACCACGCGCTGTCCGGACGCCGCGGACGGACGTGGACGTGTCGGTTGCCCATTGTTCATTGTTCATCATGCACACCAGGAAGGGAGAAGGGGGTAGGGAGGGACCAGCAGAGGGTTATCTGGTATCTGCGTATGAAACGGCAAGCACCGAGACTGAAAGTTGAAGCTCGGTCCCGATCGCCAGATCGGCTATTTGTATCTAACGGCCAACATTGTCTGAACGCGCGCTGATTGGAGGAAATGTTTACAGGTCATCGGTCTAATTATGCCGCCTTTTATTGTAATTTCGTCTCGAGTCTCGAGACAGCTCCCGTGTGCTGCCCCTAGTTATTATCATCGAAGACGAACACCCGAAGGCCCGCGCGAGCACAGGGATTCCTGTGCGCGGTCGCTACGCACTCTGTAGGCTCTCAGTGTGTCCCACGACCAGGTGAGGTAGAGATACGGGCGGCCGGCCTTGAGAGAGATGTGTGTGTGTGTGTGTGTTTGTGTGTTTTTTTGCGATGGTCGGGAGCAGCTGCTGGGTCGCTGGCCAAACGAGTGACCATATCCAGACGATGCGGGTGCTGCTGGCCTTCATTGTGTAAATGCTGGACGTGCGGTGCCAAAGGATTGGTGCGGCGTGTGTGTGTGATTCCTCCGCTGTGAGCGAATGGAAGCATAAAGGTTGTGGCCATATCAAACCGGACCTGGCCGCTACGTGCCTCGATAATAAGTTTCGATTCTAGACTACACCCAGCGGGGCTTCTACCTACCTTTATTCGTTCGCTGCATGTACATACAATACCTGCTGCTGCTGCTGCTGTGTGTACTGCTCTACCACCGACAGAACAAACCACTTGCTGAGGATCATCTACACCACATCTTCGTGTTCGGTGCTACGCTATTGCTATGTACATATTCTCAGCCCACTTTTATCTCTCGTGGGACGCATACACACGGCACGATGGTCAGCATATGCCCGACTGGTTTGGTCGTTGCACGTGCGCGTAGTCTGTTGAATTCTAAGAAATACTTTTCTCAAATCTCCACGAAAGTTTGACGTCACAGGAACGGATCTTTTACGGCAGTAGTCACCCTCCACGGGCCGAGTCTTTGCTAGATTTTGGGATTAGCAACTGACACGAGTTTAATGTGAACAACAACAACAACAACAACAACCCTCCGGGATCGAAGATTCCATTTTTTTTTCTTTTCTGCTCCGCCTTCATTGCTTCAGGTCTATTTCGAACCTTGCGCGTGTAGTGTCGAAGAGTTAGGCAGGCAATGAAACGACACGAAGGATTACCGGTTGGCAACATGACGTCCCTGTGTGGCACGTGGGGTCAGGGCACAGGGCACACGCCTCTGACTTGTTTTTTCAAGCAAAAACTCCGGTTTTTCTTGTTTTTCTCCCACTCACTCATTGCAAAGACTTGAAGAACATATTATTTCCCCTCCGGCTGCTGGGGCTAGATTATGTCTTGAATGGACTTTGTCTATAGTACTATTCGTAGATATTGGATAAGATCGTAGTAATCGATTAGGTACACACCAGCAGCAGGCATGATTTGGTGCTTGCGGGCCATTTTGAGCAGGTTGTTCTCTCTTGCGTGTGGAGGGCCTATCATCCTAACATGCATCATCCATGTATGTGCCCATCTCAATGTCAATACACGTGCCTCTTGTTTGGTCTGTCTCCTGTACATGGTACAGAGAGGCACATGAGTAGGAACCGAATACCGAAGTTTGTTGTCGCCGTCGGATCACCAGGAAGGTTCTCTTTTGATCACCGTTATTTTCTATTTTCACGGTAGTTTCATGTACATGTACGCAGCAACCGGATTGTTTGAAGAGAGTAGCCATTCGTGATATTACATACAACTGCACGTCCCGATCTATTGTAGTCGACGTTATGCTCACGCGAGTGCCAACTGATGCATATAATAGCTTGTTGTAAAACGTGGACTTTGCCCTCTATTTACAATACATAGACACACAGCACTTTGCTTTGAAAATACGCCCCTTCCGTGGCCATGATAACGCCCTCCCCCAAGCAAAAAAGTTGAGAATCCCTGGAAAAGTGCCCTCTTATGTGTCGCTGTTTCTACATTGTTCTTTGGCGCACCCACCACGCGGGTTGCTTGCCAACATTTCACCAGAGAATAAGCACCCAATTTTTGGAACGAGGTGAATGCATGTATGTAGCATCGAGTTCCTCCGGTAACCTGAGAAATCAAGTACTATACTTCGTTGTATGCATACTTGTACGAGGAAATAGAACAGGGAGGGGGTACGCAGACCCTATCTCTAAAGCGCTAACATTAACCCAACTTCCCCGATGGCATTCTTTATCCAACATGTTCGCTCAAACGACAAACCCTGCAAGTCTTCAACTGCTGCTGTACGCAGAGGGGTATGGGGTCGTGCCAATCTGCGGGGCTCCCGGGGAAGGGCGGTGTCGGGGATGACGGTTCGGAGGCGTGCCCGACGGTGTTCGAGCTCGAGCGGACCGTCGAGAAGAGGCGCGGGGCGGCCACTAGGCTCTACGTCAACCTCGTCAACCTAGAGTTCCGACGCGGCCTCTTCGAGGTCTACCAAAGGGGGTACGCAGAAGAGGGGGGCACCGGTGAGGGGGAGGGGGGCGACGAGGGCGGCGACGGCGAGGAGGACGGGGAGGGCGGGTGCGGAGAGGACAGGGGCCGCGGTAGCGGGCATGAAGTTGACTCCATAGCAATCGCTGGGAATCCCTCTGCTGCTGCCGCTGCTGCTGTTTCTGCTTCCGCTGCTGCCGCAAGGAAAAAGAAGAGGGTAGAAGGAAGCACAAGCTTCGTTGCGACGCACAAGGTGATTCGAACATGATTCTATTCTGTTCGATTCGATTTGATTCGACCCTGCGTTACGTTTTGAGATTACCTTGGCATCCGATCGAGCTATGTAGTATATGCTTCCCCAACCCGAAGAACATGTAGAAGAATGACCGTCGTTAACCACAGATGGTCATTAACCTTGGGCAGATGAGGATGGCCCTTACGTTTCTCCCCTCCCAGGGCATTTCGACTTGTATACCGTGTACGACACAAGATAACATTTCCCCTGGACCAATTTCCAAAGCTCCATTGCTCCACGACGAAGAGGATGCATAAACGAAACGATACGTTTTCGGAGAGCTCTCGACCAGACGGCTGCAACGCCGCCGTTTTCGGCACCCCCACTCCTTGTGCTGTTGAGAAATCGAGCTTTGAAAAATCGGGCCCGGGGGGTGTGTTATCTTGTCTCGTATACGGTATACACAAGTCAAGTGTTGTAAGGAGGTGTTCGACGACCGCAACACTTGATACCCGACGAATGCCTTCCAACAAAACGGAAAACATAGGGTCTACGGCTGCCTGCGTCGCTATGCATTTCACTCCCTTCAGTAAGATTGGGGCCAGGTCAAGACTGCTTTGCGGGAACGAACGGGAACTTGAGTGATGATTTGGAAGCACGACAGCAGTAGCTTCATGTGGCGGTGGGATCTACCCAATGCGATCGAGGCATCACCGGCATGACGCTATTCAGGTTTGCTTGTATATCACGCGCCTGGATTTATCATGGTTGGGCGCTGATGCACCTCGTCTTTTCCGTCTTGGCTTGCTCTTCAGTGTACCGGCACGGCGTACTCTGTGAGGGAGGTGGAGGTGCCAGCTAGCCGAAGCGCCAGCGAGGTGGACGATCTGTGGCGAGGCTTCGATGCACAGGTGGGCCACGAAGGATGCAGTTGTGGACAAGTAGCGCCCGCAGCCAAGAATTGGCGGCTAAGAGCCTGTAGTAGCTTGGCAGTGTCATGCTCAACATTTGATAAAAAACTTGACCACAACATGAAACAAGAACCGCAGCCCCGCCAAAAACTAGAGGTCATACGTGCGCGCGCTTTCTGTACAGCAGTAAGCTGTAGTGGGCGTGGGAGGGCAAGGCGGTAAAGACGAGGGTGATGATATCTAGATACTTGTGTGCTGCTCGGGTGTAGAGTGATGGGTGTGTAGACGGCAGCGGGGCGTGTATTGTGTCGAAGGATTGTCGTAGATGTTGTTATAAGGGATGACGGTGGGTGCATGAGAAGGGGCGGGTGCCCAACAGAATACCACAAGCATGGTGTTCCATGTTCTGATATTCACCCGCGTAGGCAAAATATGTTTGCGTCGTGATACTGTATGCTACGGTTTAACGCTGCTTTGTGGCAAAACAGGCGGCGCTGGATCACCCCAACATCAGCCGGCTTCAAGAAATATTCTGCTCGGAGGGGCACTACTACGTTGTGACAGACCTGTGCAGGTGATTCGACTCGTTATGTGCCGGAAGACCATCCAACAGCGTACATGTACCTCTCCGTTCTGGAATATAGGGTTCTGTGTCGTGTTCGCGCTTGTATCTGGAAGGCCCTTATATTTTCGGACAGAGTGGCAACTTCGTACCGTTGCAGCGGGTCGTCTCCAAGCTTATCAACATGGGGCACCGTCTTTTGTTTTGGTTTTCGTTGGTCTCGAGATATAGCACGACACGGAACTGGACCGCCCGCCTAACCCGACACTGGATCGCGTGGCACGAAATTCCACACGGCAGTGTTGTTGCTACTTCCCTCTTTGTTGTTTCCGGCTCTAACGCTTAACCCTCACCTTCTTCTTGTTTTTGCTTAATATGATCCTCGATCGACCGATGGACTTATCTATCTTTGCACATAAACAATGTTGTAGCGGTGGCGACCCCATGGAGCGTTTGGCGGCACAGGGGAGGACCGCGTTCGAGGAACGGGAAGCTGCCGACCTGGTCAGGAAAATCGCGAGCGCTTTGAGTCACTGCCATTCTGTAAGTCTTCCTTAAGTCGCTTCCATTTTGTGTTGTACGTGTGCCTTATACCACTGCCATTGTGTAAATTTGTCCTAAGTCACTGCCATTCTGTAGGTGTGGCTAATGCGCTACCATTCTGTCAGCGTGCCTGAAATCACTACCGTGCCTTATACCACTGCCATTGTGTAAATTTGCCCTAAGTCACTGCCATTCTGTAGGTGTGGCTAATGCGCCACCATTCTGTTATAGCGTTCCTGAAATCACTGCCGTTTTGTAAGTGTGCCCTATATCACGTGTAATTGTCCTTCTTTCTGGGTGGGTCTTTTGGCTGTTGTCCAACCTACATCCACGAAAAATATCGGGCTATGAACGAAGAGTGGCCATGTTGGTTCTCGTCTTTGCAACATGTACCTGTCACTAGCTACATGCCGTCTGTTGTTTAACACCTCCCATGGCACGTGTCCCATGTCACTTTTCACGGCAGCGTTTTTGTTCATCTGTTGTTTTGGTTACTCCCTGTCCCATTTCACATTTCACAGGTGAGGTTCTCGCCTATTTTTCTTCTACCAACTCCTATCATATAGTATCGCCTTTCACAGTCGAGTTCTCGTCTTTTGTTGACAACACCTGTCAAATGTTACATGCCACGTGTCACAGGAGGGCGTGGTTCACGGCAACCTGCGGATGGAATCCTGCCTGTTCGAGGACGAGGGGAGGTGGGCTGACGTCAAGGTCGTCGACGCAGGCCTAGCTCTCCCCTCGCTTCGGCAACGTTCGCGATCTCACGGTGCCTCCGGGCGTTCCATGGCAGGGTTAGGGTTGGGATCCGACATATCCAAGAGCATGAGCATCACTGGTTCGAAAAAGGGAGTGGTGCGTAAGATGCGGCATATGTTGTTGTTGTTGTTGTTGTTGTTGTTGTCTTCATATGAAAATCCGTTCCGGTATCTCTATCCAGTAGCTTCATCTGTCCGTACTAGTCAACCGCTTGATGCGGTCGATTCCCGTGGTTACAGGCTAACTTTACCCAGAAAATATGTACTAAAATAAAGTAGGCCCGCAGGTTAGGGTTAGGGTCTGTAGAGGGTAAAGTGTGTAGCTCACGAGGTGGGCGATGGGAATGAAATGTGTCGCCTCGATACCATACCACACCACACATATGGTACCATTCCGTACCACACCATACATCCTGGCGAAAAGGGAGACGCCGTGCGCGTTCCGCGGGATGTTTTTTTTCGCTGGTAACGGTCAGTGCGTCAGTTCGTCCTTTTTACAATACCACCGTCGACGCTAACAATGGCGTGCGATCACCATCATGTTGTTACTGTTCATGTTGGATATCGGCGCCAATGACATGATGCCCGGTAAACGGGACAAAATGGGACGTTTTGCGGAAGCTCCCCCAGGCCCCCCTCCCCTCCCGCCTGCCCCTGTCGCGCTACCTTCCCCGCAACACCTAAAGAATCGTATGGGTGGCACAATGCAGCCTGGGTATGTGTAGACGTTGATGGGTCCGTAGATGAGGATATTGCGTACCGCCCCCCCCACTCCGTCCTCTCGAGGACGCGTGGTCAAGGGTTCACCGGCTAAGGCATGCAAAACATGAGAGTGTCTCCCCCCCCCTCCCCCAGAAAATCGGGTGGTACCTGCCCCCGGAGGCTCGAAATGGAGGCGTTTGCAAAGAGGCGGGAGACATGTGGATGCTGGGCGCTCTGGCTTGGCAAGTGCTGACGGGACCTCTGCCGCAGCCGGGTATGTCGCAGCAGGCGGGGTGGGCGACCATCATGCTCGGGAAGCCCTCGTTCAAGAGTGCGGGATGGGCCAGCCGGTCGCCGGAGGCGGTGGACTTCGTGTCGCGGCTGGTCCAGGTGTGGTATGTAGTCGTGCTCGCGATAGTAAAATCTGGCGTCTCGTTGCTATTAATGTGGTTGTGTGGTCGTGCTCGCGTTAGAAAGTATCTGGTTCCTCGTTGCTGTTGCTGCTGCTTCTTGTTGCTGTGTCTGCTAATACTGTAAGGGTTCACCACGATGTCTGTGTTTTTTTTTTCTTCGATTTTGCCGAGGGCAGAAGGACGTTGCTCGACGGATGACAGCGGTGGAGGCGTTGGAACACCCGTGGCTTAGTCCGAATCGGCGGTCTGCTGCTGCTGCTGCTGCTGCTGCTGCTTCTCCTTCTGCTGCTGGAAACGACGCCCAGTTGTCTTCAAGTATTCGCGCGTCGCTGCTGGCGTTCAAGGTGCCTCTCTTCCCTTCGTCGTGTTGTGTCCTTTGGCATGGTCTGCTCGGGCGTACAGTATTTTGCGCGCATACTCGATTTGCAGCATCAGCGACCATAAATTTTGCGGCCTTTCGATGATATTGCTGCTGCCGCGCAAAGGTAATACATGTATGTGTTCTTGAGTGTTTGTAAGGGTTAGGGTGTTTGTAGTAGCCCGAGGGACTACCGGACTATTTTTAGAAAACGTCCGCATGTGAGTAACACGAAACAGCAGCACCAAGAGAGATGAGGGTAACCCTATCCCTTTTCTTCAGCAATCGTTCGAGTCTTTGACGAGACGAAACAGCTAGACCACCTTGGCGAGATTAAGAATTTTATGAGGAAATAAAACAGGGAGGGGGTACGCAGACCCTATTCCCTAACCCTAACCCTGTCCCAACTTCCCCGATTGCATGTTTTGGCCAACATGTTTGCTTTATTGTCCTTGAAGTAGAAATAACACTGAAACAACCGGTCGTGCCTCGCCTTCCTCTTGTCGGTGTCTGCACTATCACAAAGCGTCATTCCGCGATGCTTGTTTTCCTTCACCCACCCACGCTCCGCAACCTCCTTTTCCTCTTGTGTTTTTGCCATGCTACAGGAGAGCTGCGTGATGCGCAGGGTCGGGCTGCGACTCGTGGGCCGCACGCTGCAGGCGGCGAGGCTGCCTCCCGTTAAGCAGGCGTTTCGGCTGCTGGATCCTTGCGGCAACGGATATATCACTCAAGACGCCCTTGCCGAGGTGCTTTTTTTTTTTTTTTTTCATCACTGAAGATTTTAGTTATTTTCACACGCAGAGAGCATGTCTGCCCGGTAGGAGCTCCATTCCGAATATCTAGATTGATTTGTTTTCCGTGTTCGTTTGAATGTGGTTCGGCGGCCCAACTCCACGAAGTGTTGTGGCTCACTGCTGTTAGACAGCAGTGCTCGTGAGTTTGTGAAGTATTGGACACCAGAACCTATAATAGCATCATTCGGCATGTATTGTAGTTGACGAAAAAGCGCGCAAAGGAGGGAAGGAGGCAGTCCATGGACATGGACCAGATGAGATGTCACGAGCTGCATTGGAGCTGTTTATGGAAGAGTTGGTTCACTACAACACCAGCATTGTCTTGTCTTGTCTTGTTTTGTATTTCATTTTATTGATGCCGTCGTCGCCATCGATGTGTGTTTCTGTGTTTCTGTATCATCCCTTCCCGAAGAGAAAACTTCCTGAAGACGTTGCAACCCACACGGCACCCTTGCAGTCCAAGTGCTGCATGTCCCATTCCCCCGGTGTGGTGTCCGTGCGGGGGGGGCCGGTAGATAGCAGCTCCCGTTTTAGAACTCCTTTCGGTGTTTGAGAAGTCCCTTCGGCGTTTTAGTTTAGCCCTTTCGACGTTTTAGGTCAGAACTCTTTTCGGTGTTTTTGGAACTCTTTTCTTGAAACCTCATCACCACCACGCAGAATTGACATTTTCTTCGTGCCCCTGAAAGGCACCTACCTACCCAGGACCCCCACTTTCCGGCATACCCTCCTGCACTTTCGTATGCACGCTGCTGCTGCTGGGCAGGGCCTGAGAGGTGCACCGTATGCGCGCAGCATGAACGGGGGACCCGCCACTAGCACCGACCAAGCTGAGCCTTCAGGCACGGCTTCAGGGCCGAGGGTGGCAGCGGCGGCGGCGGCGGCGGCAGACACGGTGGAAGTGGAGCACGCTAAGCTCGCACGCGAGATCTTCGAAGCGATGGACGCGGAAGGGTCTGGTCGCGTCGGTTTCAGCGCGTTTTTGGCGGCGTGTTTGGCCGGGCGGCCCGCGGATGAGGCGGGGGCGAGAGTGGCGTTCAGCTGGCTGGACAGGAGGGGAAAGGGCGCCATCAACGCGGGGGACCTTAAGCTGGTCACGGGGGACGTGAGTATCCTCGTGTTGTTGTGTGAGGTTGAGCGGCAGGTGTAAGTGCCACAGGATGTAAGTACAATATGTGGATGGAATCAGGATTTCCATGCCGCGGTCACCAACGGCGACATGCCGTCGAACCCGTGCCCTGGGGCAGGCACGTTGCGGAATAGTCTTGTGTCTGCCGGATGTTGTTGGGCCACAAGGCCGTCTCTGTCATTACCACGTCCTCATGGTAGACCTGTCCACCCGCACACTACATTACAATACCGAACTGTGCCAAGCCCAGTCTAGAGCCTCGCACAACACAGCACAACACAGTTAAACCTCCAAAACCGCGTCTCCATCCCCCCTCCCCCGCGTCACTGATCCAACAACTACTGCATGCGTCTTTTATGAGTACACCCCCCCCCCCCCCCCCCCCCAAAGGGCTGGAACACACCC